AGTGCTTCAGACGTTGCAGAGGAGTTATAATGTTCCTGTAACCGCTCAGACAGTCAGAGGACGTTGAATAATGTCAACCTATACACTGCAGACACAAACAAAAACCTTGCAGGTTTGGTCTTTGCTACAGAATATGAAGAGACATCTGATAGACATTAGAAGAACATGCTATGGTCAGACGCAGATGAAACCAAGATAAATTTGTTCAGTTCAAATGGGATTCAGCATGTTTGAGGTGGGAAAAAAAACAACCACAGTGAGCGCTCAGGGAGAGCACTATCCCACAACTCAAACACAGAGGTGGTAGTGTGACTTTATGTGGCTTCACGAATGCAACCAGAATGTCTGTGGATACACCAAAATGCTAGCTTACAAGATTGTTTCCTTCCACCGGAAGCATATGTCCTGAATCACACAAGAGACTGTAAAGAATGGAGAACATTTTTCTTTTAAGTAAAAGCTGTCATCCTGATGAGAATGTTGCCCAACTTGAAAAACAACTGGAATCTCTGAAACACCAGTAGTTTCCATAGCAAGGAGGCTGATGTATTAAGAGCAATGTGCAATAACCTTTACATGGCTTCACTCTGTTATACATTTATCCCTGGTTCAAATTTGCTCTCTGTGTAAATGATTTCTCTAAGTTATAATAAATGGGCTGGTTCTTATATAGTGCTTTTCTAGTCTGAGCACTCAAATCTCTTTACACACATTGCTTCATTCACCCATTCACACCCATTCATACAAGCACTTTTTCTTTGCTTTTTCTCACACATTCATACTCCAATGTTTCAAATGCATTCAACTTGGGGTTAGTATCTTGCCCAAGGATATTTAGCAATCAGACTGGGAGCAGCCAGGGATCAAACCACCAACCTTCCGATTAATGGATGACCTGCTCTACCTCCTGAAGTACAGAAGTCTAACGCCTAATAAATGCTTAATTAAGAGGAACTCTCAGATATATGTTTCTTCAATGAAACATATTTTTGAACATGTAATTTTCATATGTTGGCTACTAAGTTATACAATGACAAATCTGTCTCTCGTTTTCTTTCATGTGGAAGGCTGGAGGATATCCCATATGTAGCTCTGAAAGAGTGTTTTAGAATTATGAAGAAGACTCACTAATTCTTCACTAATACCTAATCTTCGCCAATCAAAACACAGGTGCACTCAGTTCATTTCAAGTTGAAGTGCAATCAATAAAATACTGATACAATTAGCAGGAAAGTCTGTGTTGCAAACATTAGTAAATTATCTGTTGGTTGAAACATTGCTCTCCATATATTTTGTGCATTGAGAAAAAAAAGTCTCAGAAAAAAATGTGCTGGTCGGAAAATCAGTTCAGAAAATTCTCCGAGTTCCCACCTCTTACACAGAATCTCGTCACATCACTCTCTCTGTAAAATCAACAGTACTTTTCTTTTTATGTTCGTTTTTCTTTTTTTTTTTACACCAAAACAAATTTTTGCTTTTTGCTGTATTAAGAAGCTAACCTTAGAGTAACTTCAAAGATTAATATACTGAAAAATCATGACCTCTCTCTTTTTTCTCTCTAACCGGCTCAACATCTGATCAGCAGGACACACAGAGCCAACTCCATACTGCATGATAGTCACATCAGCTGGAGTCTAGGACAGCAAAAATCTTAAGTGTTCACACCTGAGGGGTGCTCTGCATGAACTGCTCTAGCTCCTCTACACACCACCCCACTGCCACTTGTGTTACCTGAGGAGGATCAGGAAGGCAACATCTGGATATGTTCTGGGGGCTGTAATTTTAGAAGCTCTTAAACAACCTTAATCCCCTCACAGTGTGCTATTTATTTTGGTCATGTTCTTTCGTCAATAGCCAGATTTTCTAAGAAGCAGGCAGCATTTCAAAGGGAATGACATACTGAGCCTAATATATGCAACAGATTGGAAACAATAAAAGCAGTCATTTTTTCCAGCTAAAGATTACTAATCTATAGGTACATTTTGTCTGCTTCATCCAACATTGCAAACAGATTTATCTTTTCCAAGAAACTCAGCTGAGTTCAGTATATCACAGCGTACTCGTTTTTCCAGTAATCACCAAGAAATTCAATTAAAAAGGAAAAACTTCAATATTACAGAGAAATGTAATTAAATCCCACTCTACAAACTTTTCCTAGCTTAAATACGCATTAACCCAAAACAAAAAGTTCTTTCTCAGAAGCAGAGCACAAGTCAGAAAGATCCATAAAAATGATTTCATTGCAATTCATCCCGCAAGCTGCCATAATGACTAAATTTACCACTTAATTATGCTTTAATTGGGGGATTTTCAGCTTCATTACATAAAGGGGGGCTATAACTTGAAAGGAGCAGGAAGTAAAAAGTCTCATCTGTGTGTTACCAGGTTTTTAGAATAAATTCAAAAGTGCACTAAAGCATTGGGCCACACTTCTTAATCTTTGAATGCAGGTGTTTTGAGTCTTGTCGCCACAGGTATTGTTAAATCAAGCACCTAGCCTTGCAGTCAGCCTTCACAAACATTTGTGGATGAATGGGTCGTCTAAAGATCTCACTGAGTTTGAGCGTGGTACTATAACAGGGTTTAACGGTTACAACAAGTCAGTTTGTGAAATGTCTTCCCTCCTAGATATTCTGAGATCAGCTGTAAGTGGTGTTACTGCAAATTAGAAAAGTTTCAGAACCACAGTAACTCAGCCCCAAAGTGGTAGACCACATAAAGTTACAGAGTGAGGTCACCGAGTGCTGAGGCACACAGTGCGTAAAAGTTGCCAACACTGCTGACTAAATAGCTGCAGAGCTCCAAACCTCCTCTGGCATTAACATCAGCACAAAAACTTTGCACATTCATCACTGCATGGGTTTCCATGGCTGAGCAGCTCCCGTAGGTGTAATGGGTAGGCAGCCTGGTACTTTTGTCCATATGGCGTATATTATTAGAGACATTGCAGCAAGGATACAGTGATGTATTACTTACTCCATATCAAGTCATCATTTAATTTTGCCATTGTTTTAAGAATTCAACTAAAATTTTCATTAAACTCTTTGTTTAAATAAATACACAGCTTTCCCATTTGGCATTAAAAAGGGTGAAGTAGAACAGAGGTTAGTTTACAGCAAGGACCACGTGGTGAAATGGGACAAAAGGCGAGACAAAACAGCCAGACAACATATTTGTGAAGAAACCAGATAGAAGTCAAACAGGAAGAGAGAGAAAAGGAAGAGAAAACAGAACATAAAGAGACAGAGAAAAAGACGAGCTCGTCAAACGAGCGAGGTGAAGAGTGAAAAAGGAATGTAACACGGTCATATTTTACCACTGATAGCAGGCGTGCGGTGTGGCAGGCACATAAGGAGTTCGTTTATTAGCGTTATTCCTTTTAAGAGGGGTTGTCCTAAAGAAAAAAGAGCCGGTTCAGAACACTGATCTCAGCCCACTGTCTTTACAAAGCATGATCCTTTTATTTGACTCAATCCATAGATCTGCATGTAAAAAAAAAATCACTGCATAAATAACACCTAAAGAACAAGCAATCAGCAGGAGTGTGTCTGTGTTCATATAGTCAAATTAAACCTATAAAGCCGGAATGGGATTTTAGCATTTCTTGTGTCGATTACTCAAGCTTTAACATCCAAACAACAAGCTGTTCAATTTTATAAAATTCATGGCTAACAGCTTTACATGAGCAAGACCTAATCTTACTCTTTGTAAGTGACTGCACACACTTCTATGCTAGGCTGTGATATGAACATAACAATTAAAACTTGACAAGTCTGACAGCAGCACAATTTGGATTAAATTAGTTTTGTTCATCTTAATGAGATGAAATGACAGTCATTGCAATCGCTTTGTTTAATGTAAAGAGAAGCAAAAAAAAAAGGATATGACATGTTGCATCACTGCACTAATTTACGAAACATTACCTCAGCAGACACAAGGAGCAGGGAAAGTAAGAAAAGTAGATGAAAGGTTATGGAGGATTACAGCTTGCACAATGCCGACAAATAATAATTCATACAAAGTGTTACCCTTCAAATTTGTCCTCTCTAGTGTCATTCTGATGTGGAGGAAACTCTGATGATGCTACAGATGTTTTGTGTTTAGTTTCCCGAATACATACATCAAATCAACCACATTAAAAAATATACAGGAAATCTTTTAGGGAAGATTTAGGTAGAACATCGAAGCTATTTGTCCAAAAATCCCAGGATTATACTTAAAGAGATATATGTCCCACATTTGCAACCAGCCAAGCAGAGGTTTTCACAGACACTAATGCGTTGGTTGGCCTTTGGTTTGTTTAGGGATTACTCTAAACCGTTTAGTGAAATGGTGTGTGATCACTGCCTGATACTGTCTTTTCAGACCTAAGCCTCTTGCTGATTACCGCAGGAAAAAAAGGTGCTCTGTCACATTCTTTCACCTTCACCTAAACTTTAGTCTGTGACGGTGCTTTCAGTTTTTACATTTTCTAGGGGAAAAAAATATGTCCAGATATCCTTGGAGCCCTAAAATGATATGACCTCAGGCAAACACTTGTGATGAGTACTTCATACATTCTATGAAATTGCTTAACTACTGTAGATCTATAAGAAATAGTCCTGTCTCATCGACCACACAGTGTACTGAGCAGACACCTTTAGTACTTGACAGTTTCACAACAACAAAATCATTCCAAATAACTTAAGTAATCTCTAACTGTAATATCCCGCTATAATTAGATAATTAGAGAAGACAAGTGCACTTTATAACTTTATAAACATCCAATTTGTAGCCAGTAACGAGGCTGACTCCACCACTGGCTGTGGTGGTGTGACCTTCAAGTACGGCTGTTATTATTTTCCACAGAGATCAGCAGCTAAGAATGTGAAGCATGCAGAGCCTGAAAGATCCCTTTCTCTTCCCAACAACCCCCAACACTGTTTTCTACATTTTCTTTTCTACTATACCTATACAGTACCTTCATTTCTGTTTGAAACCAAGCACATTTTGAAGCATACCTTGAGGTAACTCCACCATCCTATATGTCCTCTGCTTTTTCTTCCTGTCCTACACTTTCAGCTGCCTCAGGTTTGTAGCACACCCTATTGTGAGCACTAAATAGGATGTCATGGTGACGCTGGTCAGTATTTTGAAGAACAGTAGCAAATCATTGGAGAGACCTGAGAAAAAAATAGGAGAGCTATTTTAATCTGTTTCCCTGCAGGATATCCTTGGACAGCATGTCAAACAGAATCACACACAACAGACATTAACTTGAGTCGAGCCATTCTGAGTGCATTCAAGCTCGTGGCATTCACAATCTTAAATTATGCATCTCAGCACTGCATGTACACAGAACCTAGAATTCATCGCTTTTAATCATCCTTAACATGACTACTTCTTATTGTTTTTGTTCTGTAAAGCACTCTAATGTAGAGGTTACTGGTAAGTGTACAAATATAATGTAGAAAATCTCAATGAATCCCCACAAAATTTCAATGAAGATAAACTGAGTGGATGCTTCACACACTGATCCCCCCCAGAAGCTGATTTCAGCACCACCAAGTTCTGGTTCTTCCCTCATAAACACAGACATTGTGTAGAGAGTACCAGAAGAATATTTTAACATTATATGGACGGTACCTTGCTCATTAGCTTAGCTACAAACATTCAGTCCTCTCTTTGGTCGCTCTGAACAATCCAAAAGACTCACCAGTTTTTAAATGTCACTATGTTGTTGATGGGTTTTTTTATTTTATTACCCATACCAAAGAAGCATCAATTTACATGACATTTAAATTTAAGATTAAGATTATTATGTGTGGGGTGTGCTTGAGGAAAAGATGTGCATGTAAGTAAGAAAGTAAGGTAAGCAAGAAATGGGTTTGGCTGTTTAGCATCATAATAAAAAAATAAATAAAACTACCAACTGTCTTTCTCTGAATCTGAAAGTTATATGGAAGAACAATGTGAAGACTTTTGGGAGAAAGGGCAAATTGAGTAGCATTGAATAGTCCTCTATTACAATGCTGAGTCAGACTAGGCTCATACAGCAAAACTTCCCTGACTTTTAAGCAAATCTTCATCACCACATATTCTCTGAAATGCATGGTTGTGTAAAATATCTGCATTGAAAATAAAAATAAAAATGATTAAATCTATTACAGTGGTACCTTAATATGTCTCAGCTTTTTCCCACGTAAACACAACATTTGACAACCTCCCCAGTACCCATAATGATGAGTTTTGACACCTCAGTCTATATCATTATGACCATTAAAATAGTTTCTGGGTTTTTCTAAGGGTAGTTAGGCAGAGACTACCCTCACTATAACTTCTGATTCAAACCCAGTCATTTTGTTCAATAAGAAGCCCTCAAATATGACAGAAATCACTGGGTTCAGAAAAGAGCTTCAAGGATGACTTCAAGTAGCCTTTCAAGGGATAAAAAAAATAAACATTTAAGGTCAACACACCAGGAAAATGTCTATAGAAAGAAAATGTGCCAAACCACGATAATTCATTGTGTAGTCATAATTAACAAACAGTTGCTGTAGGAGCGTTGGAAAAAATACCCCACCTTGTAATGGAACGATCTTCAGAGAAGATAGCAAGTAAGAGCTAAATTAGCTGTTAGCCACCTTTAGCATCCACAGTTCCTTTGCAAATTGGGGTACATTTCTGGACACATTCCTCACAATGGTTTGCTTCATGGTGGGCAAGAGGAAACGGTGCATCTGCTAGCAGGTGTCACACCAGGAAGGGGAGGGGGGGGAGACAGTTCTGGAGAAGAGACTTAATATTCTTGAGGTACCAAAAGCGTATCTACAATCGAATGGCTAGCTAGCTATCTCATTCTAAAAGCGCCAAATGAGTCAACATAGTCTTCACTCCATGTCCTGGGTACTGGTCTTTCAAATCATGCCCTATAACTTTACAATAGAAACCTAATTTAGCATTTTCCCGGTACTTCAGAAATTCACAGTCTTGCCTTTTCTAAAGTTTCCCAGTATATTTATTTGCCATTTCCCAATTCCATGACCAAAAGCTTTCTATGACCATATGAACCCAACCTAGGGGTGAAAAAATATCAGTGAGGCAATATCAACTTCCTTTGCTTCGCCATTAGCTTCCTCCTGCAAAAAGTTATCAGTATACTGTCAACAAACAGCATCAATATTTTAAACACTCAGGCGGTCTAACCCATTACCCCAACAGTTTTACTTAGTCACTACTTCATGACTCCTCGTGATGGAGCTTATCAAATTAATGAATTCACAGGGGAAAATGATGGGGACAGTGTGGACACCGAGGAAAGATCAAACTCACACGTTATCAAAACAAAATGCACAGACACACCGAACTGTAAAGAACGAATCCTTAATTCCTAATTTTTCCCTCTTTTGGTACACAGATATGCAAATTCATCATATATGATTGTTTTGGTAAGTATCAAGTATTACATAATTAATTAAGGGCAACATATTAAATAACTGTGCATAGTTAATTCAAAAACATGATGCTGACCCATGAGTTAACTGTCATTTGGTGCCACCTTCTTTAGTCATTGCCAGGTTGATCAATTCTGCCCTTGTCTGCTGGCATCCATTTAAGCTACCAATAAGTAAAATGTTTTACACTACAGTCCTTAAAGCAGCAACATCATTGGAAAAGTTAGCAGAACAGTTCTCTCTGATCCACTCCTGCTGCGATATCTTGTCATTTGTGCTCAGACTGGCCCTGTGTTGAAATCTCCAAATGCAGATAATCTAGCAACAACACTTTTTTTTCCACTTTAAACATGTGAGCATCATTTCAGTAAGGGCTAATGGATTAAGGGTTTTCTAGTGAACTGCCTTAATTTAAGCCAGCAGGGGTAAATGCTGTCTGCTCTCGAGTGAAGCAAAATAACAAAATAAACAAGGTGAAAACTTTCACAGTGATCCTGGCTCAAACCAAACAACCTGAAGTAACTTTAGCTGTTTGTGAAACTTACCCTTTTCCCCACAAGTCTGCTTGTTGTCAGTCTTTCATTCCAGCTAGGCAAGTTTGTTCCTCAGATTTCTTTCGTCTCAAGATGGAGGCAGAAACTCTCCAAACACCGTTCCTTTGCTCTGAGTTTTTGTTATTAGCAGGTCCGGTTCTGCTTCTCTCCTACTGACTGCTGCATGAGCTGCTAACATGACAACACTGATAAACAACCAACTGGAATGACAGACACCAGTGCTCAAATACACAGGTGCACGCAGACCCCCCAGTGAACACAAACAGAGAAGGCATAGACAGCTTAGAGAAGCACAGTATAAAACAGCTCCTTTGCCAGCAGTTCGCCCCTTGTGTGGAACTCCAACCTTACTCCACCTACCTCCTCCTCCTCCTCCCCCTCCACGCACCTCCCCTCCCTCTCTCCTAAACAGCTCCAAGACACAAAGAGAAAGGGGCTCAGAAGTTTCTTTTTCTTCAACTTTTTCCTGTTAACGGTTCAACGCACAATGCAGAACTGTCGTCTTTTCCTGGTTACAAAAAAACCAAAAAAAAACCACCGAACTGCTTCTGTACGACAAAGCAGAGCAAAACAGTGTGAAATGTTTGTTTTTATCCACACTTGTTTAAAAGTACGATCCTCTTTATTGACATAAAAATCAGAAACAGTCAAACTGAATGTTCACGAGCGTTTTAAATCCTTAAAAAAAAAGCTCAAACCTTTTGCTTGCTTCTGTCTTTTCAGTGGTGCGGAGAAAAAAAGATACACACTTTATATGCACAGTAATCCTTTAGCTGCTCTACTTTAAATAGCCCAGATTTCATGATCCTTTGTCAAATTTCAGGTGACTCGTCACAGAGATACATGAATGAAAAATATCTGTGCAATCAAAGACCTATAAGCATGGCCATATGTCATATATTTCACATGCTGCATTAATCCTGGCAAACAGCTAGAAATCTCTCACATTAACTGACCTTTCTTATGAATTTTCAGTACGACTGACTATAGTTAGTAACGGCTTGCATTGTGTGCCCAGTAGAGCAGATGCGAATGCTCGCCATGATGATGGTGAAACCTGTTTTAATAAATCAGTAAAGGTGAAGGCTCCTGGAAAAGTTTTTGTTCGGAGGGATGCTGCTTTCAAATAGCTTCTGCTAGCTCTCAAAAATGTTTGTTCATTTGCTACCACTATGATTGATGATGTCTGCGCTTAAGTCCATCCACATATCCAAAGTCGATTAATAACTGTACCCCACACTGAGAAGCACTAACACTAAGACATCCGTCAATCTGTAACAGTACAGTATATCCATGTTTTTCTGTTCTTGTACTCTGCAGGCACTTCAGCTCATCGTGATGATGTGTTATGGCCTCACTTAACTCGTGACAGCTGTGTCCAACCTTATCGCTGGTCAGAATGACTAGCTCTGCAGGAACTGGTTGCCTAATCCTAAGCTTGTGCTTCTGTGAAAAATTGACATTTTCATGTTTATTTGCTAGAGCTGCTTTGCTCGAGTGACAAGCCAATGACTTCACATTTGATGTCATGCTGTCAAGCGTAGTACTGAAATAAAAACGTTTTTTTTTATAATTCTTGGTTTTGTCATAAACTAGCCAAGGCGCTACACAGAGCAAGAATTTTGACTCTTTTCCAAACTGACTTAGCTATATGTCAGGACCCCCAGTAATCTGGTTCATGTTATTGCCAACACGAAGGCCCAAGGACTTATGACAGCCACTTTAGATTCCTCTAACATGCAAACTGCCAATGCTGTTCTGCAATGTGTCTGAAGACCTTCAAAGTTGCCAAGAGACACCTCTCACAATAACTCTGAATTCCAAAAAGTTTAGACGGAGGACACAAATAAAAAAGACCAGCAATGTAATTGTGGCACATGTAACCCAGAGTAAAATCTACATTATAATCAAGCCCATAAATATTCATCAACGACAATCTTCTTCTATTATTTACAGATCACCTTAATATTGGACTGTGAAAGTCTTCATAGCACTTATCTCTAATGGAAGAAGTCACAAACCTCTGTTTTTAACTTCGTTTTAGCATTTTTCAGCTTACCGTTTGGGTTTTAAAGCTGGCAGCTCCACAGTTTTGATTCACTGCTCCCACCCAAAAACCCTTTTTTTAGTCAAAAAGCTCTGGAAAACACTTTAAGTGGTCTGCTCAAACAGCACACAGTCAAAGCAGGAAAACAGCTTGTGAACACAGTGGAGCATTTAGCAACTGAAGAGCAGGATATCTCACACAAGAGTGAGTTGAGTTTAATTTGACACAACTGCAAAATGAAAGCCAGACAGATGTGCAAACAGGTAACTGTTTCACATTCTAATCACCGTAACGACTAAATTAATATTCCAGTTTCTACACTGCAATCCATGCCCAAAGTTCCCCCCAAAAACCCAAAACTTTAATGCGCTTTCACAGGAAAGAAGGACAGACTTAAAAATTCGATGTATAAAAACAGCTCATATAGTTAAGAGATTATCTAAGTAGTAATAACACAATAAGTTTTAAAAAATCATACTGATGTTGCAAGACTCATTTGATAGAAAATACATGCATAAAGGAAGAAAGCCTTTTTAAAAATACCAATTCATTGTTCAGCATTAAAAATTACGGTCTTCCAAACCCTAACCCCAATTAGTTAGTTATTCAATCTTAAGTGTAGCACAGCGGCTGCATAACTCGACGAAGGAGAATGCATACTGGGCCAAGGCCTAATCGCGCACCTCTGAACAAAAATATCTGCTCAGTTTCTGCATGGTTTCTTTCTTTGCCTGTGCTTGACCTCTGCACCAACGGAGAGGACAGAACTGTGTTTACAGACTTTTGTTAAAGCATTTCTTTATGCTGAATTGAACATTAATTTGTCTAAATTAATTAACTAATAGACTGAGATTATTTCCATGTGTGATCAAGTTATGAACACCTGCAGAATACTTAAAGGGATGTTGGTCAAGATTGCGACAACCCTCAGCGCCTTACCAAAGAAAGTATACATGAAATGTAAACCATCATAACCGAACCAGTAAGCCCTAAAAATATCTACTGTGCTGTTTTTGTGTAGATGTTTTCTTTATGATGTGTTGATCAGCTATCATTAAACATTAGTCTTTTACACTACTTCGTAATGTATTATTAATAACAATCAAAAGCAATTGTTAAGTAATCGCTGCTAAGTAAAACAATCCATGTTTTTCCGATTCCCAATTAAAAAAATAAAAATTTTCACAGTCAAAAAACTACATTTGACAATTTTAGATAAAGTCCTATTTTTCTTCTTAGATTTTAGTGCAGGGAACCTACAACGGAATTAGTTTAAATGCCACTCAGGCCCAACACACAGCTCTCTGAGGCAAAACAAATCAAACACCAGGATCAGTGTTAATCTACATGTTACCCGGGGCAGAATTTAGAAATTGCTGGCTCATAGTGTTTGTGAGCCTGTGAGTAACTGACTACGCGGGACTCTGAGATTGGTTTAACAGCGCCATCTAGCGTGAGTGCTGGAAGGCGCTGTGTTGCGTGCCAAGAGTTTAAGTGTGAGTGAAATGCGGGCAGAAGCACTCAATTTACTCCTAGTGATAATTTATATTTAAAATTCTGTAATAATTCCGTTTTTTATACAGTTTAGAACAAGATGCATATCCTTAGATAATCCCTACAGTTGTCAAAAAAGCCAGTAACAACAAAAAAAGGTTTGAGGCTACATATTTACAGCAAGAATTGAAACTAAAGGCACTTCATGTGACAGTATCTAAAACACTGTAAGGCGGATTGAGCTATGTTGCTTCAATCTGACATATTTCTTTATATACATTTTATAATGTGCTAAATAACTCATGTAAAGTGCACTTTATACTGCTCAGCTTCACACAATTACAACCCTCTTGAATACGTTTTACATAGACATGCACACAGCCTGTAAATAGCGTAGACATAAACATATGTGTATATATGTGTGTGTATACACACACTTTCTACTTTTTACTACATGTCAGTAAATTGTGTTTAATTATTGTATTTCTATTTATACTATGTCAGTATGTTTATGTTAAGTCTCTTTTTTTGCGCCACCTGTAGTAACTGACTCTTGAATCTTCAATCCTCTTAACATACTACAAGATATACTGTTAATGTAATATTTGCTATACACTATATCGGCTTTAACTACTCTGACAACTAGACTATGCAATAAGCAGTAGGCCATAAATCAAACGTACCTTATATCCTCCTCAGCTTCTCATATCACGTGGAAGAGCCTGTATTAGCTAGAAAGTTTCATTTGTGGGGCTACCACGCTAATACAGTAGTTATTCATATCCCAGGTGCTTTTCACCTGTGCGCTTTAACCTGTAGTGAGTTTAAGATATTGTTAGTGGTCCCACGGATTTAAAATAAAATGTAGTTTTTAAAGTTTCGTCACTATTAAAAGTGTATTATACTAAGCGCCTCGAACAATTAGGAGGAAATTCAGGTGAACAGGTTAGCGCAATTACTTTTAGCTAGCATAGAAGAATTATATAAACTCACAAATAATACTATGTCCTAAATTAATATTTCAGATTCATAAAATGTTGGTAAATTTCACACATTAAGCAAGAAATCCTCTTTGCAGGCAGTGCAAGGTTCATAGTAGGCAATTGAAAGAAACGGAAGTCTGAAATGTTATAAACCACAACTGGCAGCATGATGTCTGAAAATAAAATGTGTGAATGGTCCAAGTATCTGCAAAAAACTAGTTCCTTTTCGTTTATGACTTGCACAAGTGTTTTTAAATCAGAGATGTATGCCACTGGGTTTAAAAAAAATAGGGTGGCACAGGGGGCTCCAGGAAATCCAGATATTTAATCAGAAATAAAGTTAACATAGAAAATAATTATTTTCAGATTCATGCGCAGGGGTTCTGCACAAGACTTTAAATATAACTCTGCGGTGGACAGTTGTTTTGAAGTGGAAAAAAGCATTCAGACTTTTTACTTTAGTAAAAATTACAACCTTACTTGGTAGCCTAACAGTACTCAGTTTGTATAATCAAACATTAAAATACCTGAAGTACATATATAGTACAGGTATTACCTCAAATAGTGCCTGTGCTAATTATGTAGAATGGCAATTTTCAGACTCATACATATTATTATTATTATTATACATATTGTCATAATTATACATTCATGTGTATGTCTCTTTAATAATTTTAATTACTTATATGTTGCTGAATAGCTTGCTCTAATAAAATGCAATTTATCTGCAACACAAGAAAAACCTAAAGCCTTCAAATAAATGGTGTTGAGTACATTGTATCCAAAATATAGTGGTGCAAAAGCACCACACATACATAACATAAAATACAAATACATTAAACCTGTGCTCAGAGATTTAATATCAAAGTGTAAAATTAGTTTGATGTCCCTGTATTCATTACCGTTTTAAAAACAAATCAGATGTTGCAACTGGTACAGAATAAACCCTAAAGCAACTAAACTTATTTGATATGCATTTGTGCAGACAGTTTACAGTAAGGGGATATTGGCAACACTGCTCTACTGCACTGCAGTGTCCACTTATGCTCGTTTTCTTGCTGCACGAGAAGAGGGAGTAAGGTCTTTACAGAAGACATGGAGGGCTGATATATGCTGGCCTTCGTAGCTCCACAACCTTGTTTTATTAATTTTTAGAGTATCGGTGGATTTTCAGATTCATGCAGCAAATAACTGGTATCTTATGTAATCCAGAAAAAGTAAAATTCATCACGTTGTCGAAAAAGTACTGTCGTGGTCAGAGAAAGCAAGCAGAAGGTTCAGTCGATAAAAAACAACAACACAGCAACATTCTGTATATTATCATATAAATTTTCTTGGTCATATTGACTTGGTTGTCTCCAGACAAATCCCATAGGCCATGGCTTACAGCAAGATTAAATGAGTCATGTGGCCATGTAAATGTCAACACAGAAGAAAATGATATGACATTTTACAGGAATCAAACCTATAACAAGCTACCCACCTGAGCACCAAAAAACGATGAAGATCAGTTCTGCCCTGTCTGATTGTCAACATTTCTTTTGTGCTTTTTGTGTTTATTTTTTTTCACCAGAGGGTCACAGCTACAAGTTAAATAGTTATTTTTGACCCACGGCAATATAGTTTTTCTGATACACAAGTCTTTCTCAACTAATTCTGGTCACAGTGTGTGAGAAGGCAGCAGAACACAAAGTCGTCACCCACTCCCCTCTCTGCCAAAGAGGGGCCCGCAGACACAGTTTAATGAGGCACCCTCTCGTGACATAAAACCTGATTCATCGGCAACCATCAACAAATCAAACAGCCATCTGCATTCCTCGCAGCACCTCTACATTTTGGGTTAACAAGTATATCGCTGAGGATAATGCAGCAAAGTCCCGCCCAAACTGTAACACATTTTTCTGTAATCTCCACACAAACTGTACATTCCCGTTCCTGAGCAGTGTGTTTGAATACATTTGCCTTCATTTATGCGCTTCTTTTTTGTTTTTTCTTTTGTTTTTTGCATGATGTCTTTTGATGGAAGCCACTTTTTGTTCAGCAGTTCAAGATAAGAGAGCCAAAGAGCATATCCTTCAATCTTGCATTAGCATTTCCCTCCAGTTGAAACTGTGATTGGGCCCGTGTGTCAGAGGCAGAATCGGTGGGTCGACCAGCTGCCACACCCCAGTCTCTCCCATTTCTTCGCAACTGCAAAATCCCAAGTAAGGAATCTGGACAAAAGAAGACACAGATGTGCATGTTGTCCAAAAAAAGCATTGGGAAAGGGAGAAGTTACAAAGGAAATCAAAGAAGCGCCGAAACTGAAACGCTACACTGACCTTTCGGACAACTTGGACAAAGTCCTTGGAGTTTTGGGGGTTGAGGCCTTGTATCTGGCGAGTGCAGGCCTCCAGGGAGGAAGCATGGGCCACAAACAGGACCGTGTTTCCTGTGTGAAAGAGGTAGAGAACATAGAGTCACATTCCTCAGATACCATAAGCTTTCTGTCCCAAACTAAGCCATTGATGATGTTTAGTTTCTTGGATACGCGTGTTTTACGAGCTAAAAAGTCTAGCTAAGAAGTTTAAAAGTACAACACTGAAAACTACAGTTTTATCTACATAAAGTGGCTGTTTTAACCTGTGAATGTTGGCAACATTTAATGCTTACTAAGCAATTACTTAAAAATCCTGGATACATGTTAATTATTATACTTTACCCAAGTTTTTGCACTCAGTCAGGATCTCTCGGGTCACCTGGAAGCTCCTGCTGATGTAGGTGTCATAGGACTCTGAAACTGTCAATTTACTTATGGGAATATGAGGTCTAGGAGAAAAACGAAATAGATACTAGGGGTGAAGTAGATTGTAGGATCAGAGAAAACAGCACAACCTCCATAGTGTTAGTGTTGCTGTGTACCTATATGTTGTGTCCACACTCAGATTAGCAGCAGCCAGCTCAGCTGGAGGGATCCAGGAAGGTAAACATGTACCTGAAACCCACTTGGTCCATTCAAACAATCCTGGCTCCACACGGATTTTTGTCTTTCCGTCCTGCTGGAGACCTGGCAGAGAGTTGAACTGAGACTTACTCTTTTTGGAGTAAAATGTAAAGGAAATGTATAAATATGTGCGAACGGGGTAACCTTTAAAAAGGATTTGCCTTTTTAAAGCAGACATATTGATGTGTCTAAATACTACGAAGGTCCCGTTACACTTTATAAAATGGACCTAGAAAAGCCTCACTGTGATAAGACCTAAACTAAAGATTTATGACTCAAAGCTAACATTGAAAATATCACACAGTAGAAAGAAGCTGAGTAGGTGCTGGTGTCAGTACACTGACGCCTGTGAAGATGAGGTCCTACCTTGAAGAATGTGCTGAGTAGTCTGAATGCATCGAAGAGAAGGAGAGCAGTAAACAAAGTCTATTGTTGTATGGCTTTCTAACAGGGCTTCCCCTGAGATAGGACAAAATACAGTGTGATTCCACAGGCAAGAATGTCATGCAGTATGGGAAATAAAAAATTTCAGTCTTAAAAAGCTCAATTCTTCAGAATCTCAGATAGCTTTACACTGGTAAATGATATAAAAGTAAAATATACCAACCAACAAGACGGGCCTGTGTGGCGCCAAAGACAGTAATTGGGCAATCCTTATCAAAGTCCCGGTGCCCACCACTTCGAGCTGGGAGACTGGTTGGCATGTTGAGATTAGAGCGAATGTATCTGCCTGCACAACACAAATAAAATATAACAAATCAAGTTAAACGTATTTAATGCCATACTGATGTGTAAAAAACATGGTCATCCCCCTATTAAACCCTTACCTTTGGAGTCAAAGCACTGAGTGACCCAGTGTTTGCCAAACACCACATCCATCCTCTCTCCATGGCGACACACAAACAGCCTCATCTTGGACAGGGAGGGCTGACTAGCTGGTCTTGACACCTACGATTAGAATTGTTTGAAACTGTGAGTCATTAAAGACAACATGCACTAATCTGGAGCCTCTGCTAGGAGCCCACGCAGTAATTATTGTCATTAACAAACTCTTTACTGGGATTGTTACAGGACAACAGTGAGGTTTGTGGTGTTTTTTTGTTTTTGTTTTTTTACTTTAACATGGGCTGTACCTGCATAGGAAGACAGAGGCCTGGAAGGCTGGGAGGATCCACAAGACTGTCAAGTAAACTGTCATTTTGCTGTCCATCAAAAAATAGCCCACCAACAGTGCTGCTAGAGTTCGATGGAGAGGCACAGTTAAGAAAGGAGAAAGACCTAGAGAATGAAACAAAAAACAAAACACAAATGATTTAAATTGTTAATAGTTTTAAAAAGGGCACAGCAACCCTGTTTCCCTTCCTTACCCATGGACGACCCATGTATCAGACTCATCGGCACGGTTGACGTAGTTCTCAGGCAGGAGGCCGGACAGCCCCGTACTCAGCGAACTGCCAAACACCCAGCCTTCGCTAGCGGTGCTCTGCTCCATCGGAGACATGAAAATAAAGTCTCCTTGCAACAGCTCCAGCTCGTCATCGTTCTGAGGCATGTACGGGTACATGACTTGCAGTGTCTGCGGGGGGCCAGATGATTAAGAGCCATTAAGACGGCAGCAATTTCAAGTGCCAGAGCTACAACTGAGGAGCGGAAACATGCTTGTTAAGAGATGGCACTAAATGAGAGTGTACCTCGTGATTAGCAAACCGAATATCCCTGGAGAAGAGCACGGCCAGCCAGTCACACCCTGCAGACACGTCAACATTTTTGGCTAGCTTCTCCAAAGCCGGAAGGCTACTGGCTTGAAAGTGGTAAGCCAATGTGACATGAAGCTGTTTCTTATGGGGCTCAACATGAACATCTGGATTAAGGATAAAAAAGAACAGCATATACACACCAGTCATCCACAATAATAAAAGCACTGGCAGGTAAAGTAATTAACACTACAGATCGTGTCACAGTGGTATATTTTTTTGGGAAAACCTGGATCCTGGCCTTCAGCATCTTTCCAAAGCCTACAAGTACCCCCAATTCAGCCCAACCATATTAAGCCTAACTCTAATATGTGCCTTTTCCATCCAAAAGTTAAGGGTTTCTTGGGATGCACCAGTTGAAAATATAGAAAATACTAGTACCACTTCTGACCTTTAACCTTGACGATAGCATACAGCCTATCTCTCATGTTACTATTAGCTAGCCTGGCTCTGTACCATGATACAGTTCCATGGTTGTAGTTTTTCGTCAATGGCTACATGATGGACTCTCTTAACCAGGCAAAGGAACTTCCAGGATATGGTATCAACTAGCGAACCAAGCCCCAAATAATAATACATTAAGCAGTTCTGCCCAAATAATTCTAATACATGGGATAAGCAAGAGAGAATTGTATTGATCCTTTCATAAAACTCTTAGTCAGAAAGCAATTAGGCATGCAAATGTCTGTCTACTCCTTTGAACTAAATCATTGCTGCAGAGAGCCTGGGAGCATTAGTATCCAACACTGCGTCTGCAAGACAGCGTTCATGTATAACCTCTTAACCAAAGGGAAAAAGAGGACTTGAACCTGCTTTTGATGCGGCTTCAGTGGCAAAGTCAGCAGCAAAACTCTTCAGAACTTCTGCCATCTGTTCCTCCACGAAGAGACCAATGAAGGTTGAGGAGACGTAGAGCTCCAGGGGGAGGGGCATAGGTATGCGACCTTTCCACTTGGCCATGGTGGTCTGGAGAGCATCGGACAGAGCCTCCACCTTCGCATCAGTACACTGAGTGTAAAGGAGATAACAACACAGGAAACTCAGTGATATACTGAACACTCTGTCATTGCTAGTGATCTCAGAAACAATCTGTACATGGGCAAATATAGAGTTTAGTGCAAACATTGGTTTAGATCCTTTTTCATTACACAGGACTATCAATAGAAAACTTTGGCAACTAGAAGAACAAAGAAGACCTGTCACAGATGTCGTTCCCTGATCTCTCAGATCAACAGTGATAACTCCTGTATTTAAAAAAACCTGCTTCAGATTCCAATATTATCAGTCATTTTTGTTCTATATCAATTTACTCTTTTAGTCCTTGTGAAAATAGCTGTTTCTCAAGTTTATGCTCTCTTGTCTGGCAATAACCTTTGTGAACAATTACAGTCTGGCAGCTGACTCCGGTCTATCAACCATCCCCAACCACTTTGATCTGTGTGCAGCATTTGACTATATATCCATAACATCCTTCTAGACAGACTAGCCTGTATTGGAATCGCAGACGCGCCCTTAAACTAGTTTAAATCCCATCTCTTGGCTCTCGGTCACATTCATGTAAAATCCCACCCATTTCCAGTTATTGCCAGTGCTCCCCAGGGATCTGTTCTGGGTCCTTTTCTATTCATTACTTATTTATTTCCACTGAATATATTTTCTGTAAGTTTAATCAACTGTTCTACTGTTATCCTGATGACATCCAGCTCTACCTGTCTACCAAACCTAACACCACTCTCCCACTTGTGACACCTCCAGGAAATCTGCTTTGCTTGCAACTCTGACTTTCTCCTGACTGGCCCCAAAGGTCTTCTTCTCACAGTCCCTTTGACTACCATGATGTTTACAGTAGAGTTTTCAGTTGCTCAGCTCCGCACCTTGACATCTGTGACACTCACCACTTTCAAATCCTGTCTCACGATGCACGTCTATGCATGCAAGGCTTTGAACTGGGAGAAATTGGGCTGAAATTCTACACATAGACGTAATGCTTTAACAAAGAGGAACTTGGGTCATAAGTTAGCTAACAACTGAGGGACAGATTTTAAATTTGAAGACCACAAAGAGGTTACAGGAGGTTAACCAATCCAGCAAACTCAAATCTAACATGTTGTATTTGCAAGCACTTCTTTCAGTTCTAAACTGTTCACTGCGTTCTCTGCAGCAAGCGGAAATGTGACAGCATATATTAAATGTTTACTGTACATTTGCAGAAACTGAAAACAACTTCCTCTGGGTGAGCACAAATAATTTAAATACACACACACACACACACACACACACACACACACACACACACACACACACACAGGAAGTTGAGACTGACCATGAAGAACTGGCAGAGGGTAATGTGGGGAAAGATGTTGTGTGCCTTGTTCTTGCCACAAGACAGGCGGGACTGCTTCCAGAAGTGCGTGAGCTGCTGGAGCAGTGGCCCACTTGGTCGCAGATATAACACATACTCTCTGGGTAGAGGGTCATCCAGGAAGGGGTCATCGACATGGGAAAAGAGCCTGGAGTGACCAAGATCACGTCAAGTGGAAAGAGGGAGAAAAAAAAGCTGTGATAATGGAAGATAAAAAGGAAGGAATGTCCAGCAGAGGGCAGCGATGGTTGTAAATGCAATCTGATGTGTCAATAAAATGTTACATTAGGTCAGTATATTTTTGCCATGTCAAGAATATCCATTTGATTTCCTGTTAAGCAATAACAACAGGGAGCGTAAATATGAGTGTGCGCATGTGTTGCTCTCACCAGTCACAAGCCGCCTGGACGTTTTTCCCTCCTGTCGAAACCAGAGCTTTTAGGCTGCAAAACAGGAAGAGAAAGCAAGAGGGGGAGATCAAAGCACAGCCACACAAATCAATACTTTCTCTTCCGGACTGTATTTATTAGGAAGAGACTGCTGCGTCTCCGTGTGACTGTGAACAAAGAACAAACATCCAGAGAGACCAGTAAAAAGACAGCAAGCACACAATGATTCTTTCATTATTCATACCAGAGGTTCATGAAACACTCTGACTTGAAGCAGCTAGCTTCTTTGCTAAGAACTAAGAATGCATTAGGACAGTCTGGTTCTATCATCAGTTAGGTGTGGCCACCTACAGGGAGATGCATCTCCCTGTGTTAGTGTTAACTGAGGTCGAACTTGAAGCCGAGCACACTCGAGTACGGTAACAACACATTCAAATCACTCGTCTCATTGCTTAAAAATGTAGGCCAACAAAACCCCTGTGTCACGATACCAAGATCTGCTATAAATGACAGATAAAATAACGCCTTTGGTTCTAAAATGATATAAAATGAACAGTTCCTACCACAAGATTTATCTGTGTCATTTTATACTCTAATTTCTTTCTTTTTTTCCTGAAACAGAGAGCTGATTGAATGATTACTCTCGAGTGTTCAAAATCTAATTAGCATCTTTTTATAAAAGCTCTGTTATCGCAGGCTGCCTCTGAAGGGATTTGCTGATTCAAGGAGGTTTCTTCAGCTCTTAGAGGACTAACACAGATTATATCTGCAAGAGACGGTAATTTAGAAGGTTCAGAGCACACACGCACTGCAAATCTTTGGTGCACTGTAGCATAAACTTTGCTGTTTTGTCGAATATATCTTATGCTTGGTATTACAGCCTGTAAGAGATGGATTCCTGATAAACGAGTAAAGAAAGGAAGTAGACAGTTTCATGTTTAAACAACAGGGAATTCATGTTAAGTAACTGCACGTTGCTTTGTAGCATTTAAGCTTTAAAGCTCAGCTACAAGCCACCCAACTCCATCTCCTTTGAGCTTTGTAGGGTGCTTGAAAATAAAGCAGAACTCTGAGTCTGTTTAGCTCTCATTCATTGCAACAGATAACCCTAAAAGCAAAACCTTCAAAATAATGTCACATTTTTCTAAATGATATCTCTATTCTCACATAAGAGAGCTTTGCTTGTTGGTACTCTTAATGGCAGTTCTAATGAGCCATAAAACTGAACAAGGGGTCGTATTCTGCATCATTGTATGGTCACCATTTGACTGAATTTATAGCGTGATGCGGACAGAGTTCATTGTGCCGCCCTGATGTTCGAACTCAATGAGCTATTTTTAAATTTGTCCCAGTGAGAGGGTCCTAGATACGGCGAAATCCCCCAACCCTGGGGCAGCGCGCACTGAAAGAGCACAGCGTGCACGCTGAGAGCGTCAAGCCTACAGGATCCTAACAGATGGCTCACACAGATCTACATAAAGACTTGAGTTATATATCAGCTACAGTGAGAGTCAAAAAATTTGGTTAGTCTATGGTTAATCTATTATTTATGCTATTTTAGCACTACACCACCACTGTAAGGAGGAGGTTTTAAAAAAAGAGAGTCAGTTGTCCTTTTCAAAAGATTCCACCTGGTTCTGTGTGGAGGAGGAAAAGAAGGGGATTTTCTCTCAGAAGGCATGATGGGATTACATGCAGATGTGACTGAGACGTCACAAAATCCAATCCAGGCTGGAACATTGGATTCTTGCTTCTTATCTCCTTGGTATTTTATGAGAGTGAACCCTTGCGATATTAAATAATAGTAATGCTCTTAGTGCGGAGTCACAGAGCAAACTGATGCAATGGCACTTGAATTTAATCTTCCTTTTTTTTAAAGCTTTTCAAAGGAGAAGAACCCCCGATCCATGTATAAACAATAACACACCATCAAGCAGGATGGTGTTACCGTTTTTTATTCATCTGTGTGGCACAGATTTTTAAAAAGGGCAATGTTTTAAGCAAAAGATTTTTTTGTATGTGTGTATTTTGAAAATGTAACGCACAAGATTGGAGTTTAAGCTTAAGCTTTTCGTGGATCAGTCCACGTGAAAAGGACATCGTTACCGACTCTGGCAACACTTCAAAGTAAAAACATCGATGCTGACACGTTTGATCAAATCATACGTTTCAGCTAACAGCCGATTCAGAAATATGTCTGTCTGAAACTTGTCGATTTTTCCTCCTTTATTAAATCTATAAATAAAATTCTTGAGATTTCCGAATGTCTTTTGTGAGAGTGTCCTCGACTGAAGTAGGTAACAGTAACCGAGCAGGTTTTTTCATGCCTGGAGAAACAGAGGAGCCTCTTCCTGTGAGGAAGCCGTGCTAAATACCACCAGGCTTGCTTCGTTGCAGCATGTTTCACTGTGGTTTGTGCTGTGTTTTTTTTTTTTGCTACCATTTTTCTTCATGATTGTGCTTGATGGCTCACTTTGGAATCGTTATACAGGTGGCCAGAGTATTCACACTCAAACCTCTAGTGTGACTCCTCTGGTGGAACTTGTTAAAACTTGTAAGTGTAATGTTCTCACGATGAGCTCTTCCATGCATAGTTCCCTTAGAAAAGAATATTTTTATATTAAGATACTGATTAAGCAAGAAATCACATGCATGTGATGTATTCCTTCGCCAGAAGTTTAATAAAGAAGGTAATCTTTCCACAATTTTTAACGCTCATATTGGAATATTATAATCAACTGCTCCACATTTTGAAAATGAAATATCCTTATACTAAATTATAAATGTAGCAATACTTTTTTCAAAACCCCACTTTCAAATTCGGTGCCTTCTTTATTAAACTTTCCCACATTTCTAATAGTTTTGGGGGGAAAAAAATGAGCTGATTTAAGTATGCGTTGTTCTTGGTATTTCTTGCAATCATTTCCAAGCTGTGGTGAGGCCGTTTTCAGAAATATCTTTAACTTTTTTAAAGCCTTACTTTCATGGTCTGATTTTGACTGACATGCGGGACCACAAGGAAGTCGTAGTACACCAACAGACATGCTTAAAGGTGTCATGTATACTTTCGCCACCGCAAATTCCTACATGCCTGCTTGCATTTCATAATCTAACCTCAGACGAGTGCCTACTTTACAGAGTGGTTATGACTGATAACAAGAACTAGGCGTCGCACAACCCATGTAGATCATATCAGTGTAGATATTTGGATGCAGTCTTGGTAAAAAGAGAGTACATTTCGAAGGTTTTCTAATAAGGACAAACACCTCATACTGGTTGTCAAGCACAGTGGTGGAGGTGTGATGATTTCAGCTTGTTTTTCAGTAAAAGGACCTTAGCACCTCGCAGCCGTTGAGTCGACCACGAAGTCGTCTGTATGGCAAAATGTTACAGTCAGCTGAACTGAAGCGACGCTGGAAAGAAGAGTGGGTCAAACATCCTCCACAACAATGTGAGAGACTGAGACAGTCATACAGTTATCCGGTCGTTAAGTGATGACATGATGAATCCTACTTCCCGGCCTAAAATAGCTGTGTCGCTAGCACATCATTATATACCAGCTAGCCAAACTTCAGTAACCCTACAAACGTCACTGCTGTTTAGTTTTCTGTCTTCATTTATGTTGGAAGTGATAACAGAGCTGTGCGTTTTAATTTGTTTCCAAAACCCGGTAGTCAGGACATGCTATATTGTATTTAGATAGAAGCTAGCGAGCTAACTCCCTGCTAACTTCTAACTCCGTTGAATGTCATAAATTCCGTTTTCATGGATGCCTGGATGTTAAACTCACCTGGTAGAGCAGAACGCTGATCATTTTATTAAAGATGAAAGACTTTAGACAGTTTTTCAACTCTCAGTAATGCCATAGTGATCGTTTGATATATGGACCTGCAGCGGAGTTTAGGCCCAGACACGGCTAGTGACGTCAGACTTAACGACTGGATTGGTGCTAAAGGCGAATCTATAAGTTAAATAAATAATATAATGGTTACATTTAACTAATTTTAAGACCAAGTGAGGACAAGATGTAGAGTCTTGACAGACAGAATATTGTCTATTTTTTTCATTAAAAATATATACGCACCTTAACCACTTTAGAGTAGAATGATAAATAAAGACAACACTGCCATAAGTACAGAAAACAAAATAGTTGAACCAGTTATTCCAGCCTTCACTTACTAAAAATGTTAAATGCCAAAAAAGGCAAAGACTTTTTGACTATAGCGGTCGATGCGTTTTCTTTTACCATGAATTAATTCCATGTTTCAAATGGTTTTTCCATGTCGTTCCAGTATATATATTTGTTAGTGAACGCACTCTGGATTAGTAATAGTTTCCGTCACGCGGAAGTATAAGAGAAAGTGACTATTATTGAATGGAGCTTTAACTTAATTTGCACATGCACCACGGCTGCACGCAACACAGAAAACAGCTTTTCATGGCAGCCACACATGGCAACTGTGTTTAGTTCCTGTTTCCACATTTAAGCCCACTTCAGATAAAGTGTTGTGTTGCATGTTAAAATAGCAGTGTTTCTGGTTTTTCACACGTGTAAACATACAGCGGACTGTTTATTACAGCTGAACTGGATATTTTTCCATGCAGGTTAGCTACATAAATTTCCAAAGAAGTAGCAAACCACAAATGAAGAACAGAAGTTAAAAAAAGAAGCATATCAACACATCTTAGGACACACACAAATGTGTTAAATGCTCCCAGGGGCCCCTCCTGACTTCACTCAATAGGCAAATGAACATTTCCTGTTTACAAGCCACACAGTTTTTGCCACTTATTACAGCCACAGGGCTGAGAGGACTGATGCTGCTAAAACCAGACTGCAGCCTGAGGAAAGCCCCCATCAGGAGAGGAAAGGGGCTCCCCTTCGGCCAATCTAGCAGACTATGCAAATGGGTGGTAAGCCCACGCCAGACATGAGGCCGGAACAGCTGATTCATCATTATAGTTCACGATACATTGCCTACAAGTATCCTTATACACAACAAGGCTGATGCGTTCATGCCAACAAAGCAATAATGTTCACCAACTTAACATTT